CAGGAAGATCCTCTGGAGGAGGAAATGGCAACCCACTCCAGTATTCTTGCCTGGAGAATCCCTTGGACAGAGGGGCCTGGCGGAATTCAGTCCAAGCGGTCACAAGAGTCAAACAGAACTAGCAACTAAACCACCGCCAGCAGCAGACTTATGTGGTGAACACGGGCCCATCTGTAGTAGCCCCACTCCTTCTACCTGCAGAAGCTTTGAGGAACACTTTGTAACAGGAGCAGTTTGTTTGTCCCATGATGGCATTCCCTGGGTGTCAAATTCATGCTCTGATCCCAGACTCCAATGCTTCCGGAAGCCAGGCAGGTGGGTGCTAATGAACCAGGCAGACTGGGAGAGACTGCAGAGAACTGCAGAGCACGTCGTCTAGCAGAGAGGCTGCCCTGAAGAGAACCGCACCGCTGCTGGACCTTCTGGGTCTTAATGAACGTCTAACAATCCCAGTGCTGCTGAGAACTAGACTACCAGCTTCTGGCTCATTATTGAAAACAGGCAAAAATGCAAGGGGCCGACCCTTAACAAGCCTGTCTTCGGGTTCCAGGAAATTTACTTTATAAACCAACGAAGTGGAAAACAAAAACAAAACTAAAACCAAAAAGCCCTCAAACAGGCGTAGAATAATAGTCTCACGCTGCCCTGTGCAAGTTTCAACTGTCTGGGTCCAAACACTGGGAAGGCCAGTTGCCGCATCCACAGTCACCACAGGAAGTAAACATATAATAACACTGAAAATGCCCCTTGGTCTCCTAGGACACAGGGAGCCCCGAGGATGCAACATGGAGTTGAAAAGGTGAAGTTAGTTAATTTCTGATCATTGTATTATAATTTAAAAAATCAGGCTTATCTAGTGAGTTTAAATCTGAGCTTGGCAGCAGAGAAGTCTACACATCTGAATATATTGGATAGAGATTGACATTTGTGTCATTTTAAACAAGATCAAGATGAAAGAGGATGATGAGTCTAACAAAAGATGTAAAAGCTATATCTGAACATTAGTGAGAGTGGGGTTCGAGTAAGGAGAATCAAACATCTCACCCAGCCCCTAGTCATCAGCAATATCTGGGCCTTAAAGAGAACAGTAAAGCAGAAGGAAAGAAAGCCTTTCCCCTGCTGATGCTATAACTGTGTAAGGCTTTCATGTGTGTGTCTTCAGACCATAAAACTCCCCCACTGTGAATGAGCAGGTCCACTTTGCACATTTCCTAGGAAATATGTTAGCTTTAGGGGCTCCTTTTTCCCTGTGGGTCTTCCCTGGTTTTCCTGGCAACCGGATCAGTCCTGAAACTGGACAGCAGAACTGCGGGGTGTGATCCATGGAACATGGCCAGTAAATCTGTGTGGACACTAGAATCCCATGAAGAAGCCCTGGGTGAAGGGACGTGGAAGTTTCTGGATGACTTGGATTTTCTATGGGGCTACAGTTTTTGAAACAGTGGAAACAGTGTCAGACTTTATGTTTTGGGGCTCCCAAATCACTGTAGATGGTGATTGCAACCATGAAATTAAAAGATGCTTACTCCTTGGAAGGAAAGTTATGACCAACCTAGATAGCATATTAAAAAGCAGAGACATTACTTTGCCAACAAAGGTCCGTCTAGTCAAGGCTATGGTTTTTCCAGTGGTCATTTATAGATGTGAGAGTTGGATGGTGAAGAAAGCTGAGCACCGAAGAACTGGTGCTTTTGAACTGTGGTGTTGGAGAAGATTCTTGAGAGTCCCTTGGACTGTAAGAAGATCCAGCCACTCCATCCTAAAGGAGATCAGTCCTGGGTGTTCATTGGAAGGACTGATGTTGAAGCTGAAATTCCAATACTTTGGCTACCTCAGGCGAAGAGTTGACTCATTGAAAAAAAACCCTGATGCTGGGAGGGATCGGGGGCAGGAGAAGAAGGGGACGACAGAGGATGAGATGGCTGGATGGCATCACCGACTCGATGGACATGAGTCTGGGTAAACTCCAGGGGTTGGTGATGGACAGGGAGGCCTGGCATGCTGTGATTCATGGGGTCACAAAGAGTCGGACACAACTGAGCAACTGAACTGAACTGAACTGAACAAATTTTATTCAGTTTGTTAGCACGCAACAAGGCTGTGCTAACCCTTTTCATCAATATCTGAAAACGGGTCATTTCCTCTCTGACAGTTTGAGCAATTTACCGTGACCACAATGTCAGACCCCCAGTCTGGACATATGCATTCATTCACAAGTTCCAGGAAATCCAGCGCAATAGCCAACAACCAGAGAAGACTAATGTAATGGCAAGAGAGGTGGCACTGGCAGAATATGAAGCCAGATATTCTAGGACTCCACAATATTTTCTGTGAGAAATGCTGCTCAGAAACTCCAGAATTCTCTTGAAACATCCCACCCTCGCCTTCTCCCACAGAGTCCACAAGTCTGTTCTATACATCTGAGTCTCTTTTTCTGTTTTGCATATAGGGTTATCGTTACCATCTTTCTAAATTCCATATATATGTGTTAGTATACTGTAACTCTGAATAAGCTAACTAGGCACAAATGGAGCCTGACTTTGTGAGATACATGCCAAGCAATAGATGAAAAGGGGGGAGAGAAATAGAAAAAAATAACTGCTTAAAATGATAAATATTTATTTTAACCTTTCATTTTGGACAACCTATTATTTAATTCATCAAGTCATTATAACATGACTGCCAAAAATTATACCGTGCTTGCGTCTATAACATGATTAATAAAGCGGCAAATAGGCTTTCTCTCCATGTGACAACTTCAATCAACTGGCATTGGTTTTATGATTTGAGAAGCTTTGAGGCTGATTTCAGTGAGCAAGAGTCCTGCAGTGGATTAGTACTGCCTTCCAGGTGGCTGTATTAGGACTCCCTGATATCTCAGTTGGTAAAGACTCCACCTGCAATGCAGGAGACCCTGGTTTGATTCCTGGGTCAGGAAGATCCACTGGAGAAGGGATAGCCTACCCACTCCAGTATTCTTGGGCTTCCCTTGTGGCTCAGCTGGTGAAGAATCAGCCTGCAATGCGGGAGACCTGGGTTCGATCCCTGGGTTGAGAAGATCCCTTGGAGAAGGGAAAGGCTACCCACTCCAATATTCTGGCCTGGAGAATTCCATGGAGTGTATAGTCACAAAGAGTCGGACACGACTTTTATGTCACTTCACTTCCAGGTGGCACTAGTGGTAAAGAACCCGCCTGCCAATGCAGGAGACACAAGAGACAAGAAGTCAATACCTGCATCTGGAAGATCCCCTGGAGAAGGGCACAGCAACCCACCCAGTATTCTTGCCTGCAGAATCCCATGGACAAAGGAGGCTGGGGGGCTACAGTCCATGGGGTCACAAAGAGTCAGACACGACTGAAGCGACTTAGCATGCACACACACCGAAGTGAGAGATTTGAACAGATAATGTTTTTCAAACTATGGATCTTGGAGGTGACTCACAGGGTGAAAGAAGAGCTAAATGGGAATCCACTATGTCCAGAACAACTCTCCTTTTATATAATTAAATTACTGGAAGTTTGTAAAAGAATTCCTCTGCTAAAACCCATATTTTTAAAACTATAGATATAACAGCAAAAAAGACAGGAATTTGGAGTCTATGTTCATTTCTAATTTGATTCATAAGTTAAGTCAGATAAGAAGTGTCACATATTTACTATAATGGTCATTTATCCTTGAAAGTGCAGACGCCTGCTATAGGATTACCTCATGAAACAGGTTCTGAGTACTGCATCGGCCCCTGAATAGGCCTCTTTGGCATCCGATATGTAGCTCTTCTATCCTGTCCTCAGCACCACTAACCAGGCAAATGGACTTTCGGCATCATCTTTCTCACATGTACTTGTTTGCTGAAAAGCTTTTTGTGGTTTTCCATGTCCTGACACATACATATAAACTCTTTTTCTGACTTTCAGGTAAGCTACAAGACAGTCTGTTGACAGTGTAGTGTCTTGAAACAATAGCAACAAACAAAAATAAATTGTTGCATCCTACTGACCATGGGAAATTCACTTACTCTGAGCCTCAGTTTGTGTCTCTGTTAAGTGGGGATGAGTGATACTTGTTTTATGGATAAATTTTGTGCATGTAACATGCTTAACACATTGCTTCACACAAAGATAATATTAAATAAACAGTAACTGATTATTGTTATAATGAACTTCCCAGGTGGCTCAGTGGTAAAGAATCCGCCTGCCAGTGCAAGAGATGCAGGAGACAAGGGTTCTATCCTTTGGAGTAGGAAATGGCAACCCACCCCAATGTTCTTGCCTGCAAAATTCCATGAACAGAGAAGCCTGGTAGGCTGCAGTCCTTGGGTCACAAAAAGAGTCAGACATGACTAAGCATGCACCCACTTATTATCACTATAATACATAATAAAGGTAATGATAAATTTCTGGATCTGCTATATTTGACTGTGTGATCGTGGGCTCATTACTCAACTTTCTGTGAATTTCAATTTCCTTATCTGAAAGATAAGAATAAGTGCTAAATCATAAGACTGTTTTAAGGATTAGGTGGTACAGATTAATGGAAGATACTCCAGGTATGCTGTGTCCTTCATGTATAGTCTGTCCTTGTTCCTCAATCTTATGTACCAGGAGAGAATATCCCAAAATGTCCTGTGATCTAATCAGCTTAGCCCTGTCACTATGTTTGGCCTCTTCTTTCATGACAACACCTCTTCCATTTATCAAATTATTCCCATTCTTAAAAATCCAAGACAGGTACTTCTTCCTCCATGAAACCTTTGCTGACTGCTTCCTTCGCCACTGACTTCCCTCTTCACTGAGCAAGTATCCCATTTCCTCAAGGGCCTGTCACACAATTTAGCCATTAATTACATTCTGTCTTGTTTGCTACAGAGACGCCTTGTATCTAATGTTGATAACAATCTTGGATATGGAAATTAACCCCATGTTGGTTCAGTTGAGGGTGAGAAAAGTATTCCAGGAGAAAACAAGGAAATTAAGCTCATCTCCTCTTTTTTGTTGCAGTTCCTTTTCCTGAAAAAGGAATGGTTCAAATGACTGTGAAAGACTACATGAGGTAGGTGGCAGGATTAAGACTGTTTTAAGGATTAGGTGGTACAGATTAATGGAAGATACTCCAGGTATGCTGTGTCCTTCATGTATAGTCTGTCCTTGTTCCTCAATCTTATGTACCAGGAGAGAATATCCCAAAATGTCCTGTGATCTAATCAGCTTAGCCCTGTCACTATGTTTGGCCTCTTCTTTCATGAAAACACCTCTTCCATTTATCAAATTATTCCCATTCTTAAAATCCAAGACAGGTACTTCTTCCTCCATGAAACCTTTGCTGACTGCTTCCTTCGCCACTGACTTCCCTCTTCAGTGAGCAAGTATCCCATTTCCTCAAGGGCCTGTCACACAATTTAGCCATTAATTACATTCTGTCTTGTTTGCTACAGAGACGCCTTGTATCTCATGTTGATAACAATCTTGGATATGGAAATTAACCCCATGTTGGTTCAGTTGAGGGTGAGAAAAGTATTCCATGAGAAAACAAGGAAATTAAGCTCATCTCCTCTTTTTTGTTGCAGTTCCTTTTCCTGAAAAAGGAATGGTTCAAATGACTGTGAAAGACTACATGAGGTAGGTGGCAGGATTGCTGTTTCACTCCAGGGTTTTGCTGACACATCTTTCATAAGTGAAATGGAAGTGAGGAGGTCTCTTAGTAATGCCATGGGTCTTGGCATCTTGTCACTGGTTCAGCTAGAGCACCTAGACTATTTTCACCAGCCTTGAGAAAAATAGAGGTTCTTTAATTGTCCTAAAGGAGTAAGCAGATTAAATCAGTAAATGCTGACTTAGAGGGAAATTTAATGAAAATGTATTCCTAAATGGTATTCTACTAAAATTCAGCTATTCATGAGAACCTGTTCATAGAATAGTTACATTCATATTTTCATATTGCCAATGTCATTGATCATCATGCTATTAACTAGATAATATTACATATAATTTCCAGTGTTAGGTAGAAAGCAGTCTGAGCTTCCTAATATGAGGATAGACTAAGTCTCAAAGTGGTCCCAATAGCAGCAGCAATAGCATCTGTGAACTTAATAGAATTCCAAGGCACCTCAGCACACTGCCTCAGAAACTCTGGACCTAAGGGTCAGAAATCCATGTTTTTGTAAGCCTTTCAAGTGTTCTGAAGCATGCTCTGGTCTAAGAACCACAGGAGCAGACCGTGCGCAGTGGAGGACTGGGAGCTCTGCCTCCTCTGCTCCAGTCCCTCCTGCATTTTCCAGATCATTCAAACTAGTCGCAAACCAAGTATTCAATACTGTATTCTTCCAACTCGTATCAATTCACATCTCAAGTTCTACTTGGGCATAATTTTTCCCTCTTAGAAGATTATATGTTTTTGCTACTCACAGAACCATATAGAAATAGGGACCACAGAAATTCTTCCGGCAACTCCTTTTGTGGAAGAGGAAAATAAGAGTCAAGGCCAAGGACTCACCCATGCCCTTCCAGCTTCCTTAGAACTGTGACTATACGTGGCTTCCCCTGGATCCAGGTCCAGGCCAGTGACTACTGTACAATACAAAATAAAGTACGAATCTCAAACACAGAGTGAAAAAAAAAATTATGGCAGGCCTAGAACACACTGAGAGGACGCAGTAAGTGAAAGGTATCTTCTGCCTGTCTTCCAAGAAAAGTGAAAGTGTTAGTCATGTCCATCTATTTCTACCCCGTGGACTACAGCTCACCAGCCTCCTCAGTCCATGGGATTCTCCAGGCAAGAATACTGGAGTAAGAAGCCATTTCCTTCTCCAGGGGATCTTCCCCATCCAAGGATCAAACACACATCTCCTGCATTGCAGGTGGGTTATATACTGTCTGAGCCCATGCACTGGAGAAGGAAATGGCAGCCCACTCCAGTGTCCTTGCCTGGAGAATCCCAGGGACAGAGGAGCCTGGTGGGCTGCCATCTGCGGGGTCGTACAGAGTTGGACACGACTGAAGCGACTTAGCAGCAGCAACAGAGCCACCAGGGAAGCCCCTCCAAGGCTCCCAGAAAGCTCAATCATCTATTAAAACAGAGTCTTTATTTTTCAGAAATGTGCACTTTCTCAGCCTTAGGGCAAAGAAGCAATTGAACAAAGAAAAGGTAGTACCCAGCTATTCTTACCAAACATCGACAGGACTAAGGCAAATTCAGGAGCCCATGTAAGATAATTTGGTCTCCTTGAGAGAATTGATATAAACATTGTATTCTTCAATAAATCACAATTTTTTGCCAACTTTTATTATATTTGATGAAACTAGATGAGTTATAGTATATCCAAGCTATACAAAAGCGAACTATAACAATCCTATTCTGCTTGGAAACACTTTCAAGTGACTTGTACTGCCTATTAGGATAGAGAGACACACACTTTTGCTTTTGCCATAATAAAGGGAAGCCCAGGTGGCTCAATGGTTAAGAATCCACTTGCCAATGCAGGAGACACAGGTTCAATCCCTGGGTCAGGAAGATCCCTTGGAAGAGGAAATGGCAACCCACCCCAGTATTTTTGCCTGGAGAATCCCATGGATAGGGGAGTCTTGCGGGCTACAGTCTATGGGGTCTCAAAAGAGCTGGGAACAACTAAGAAAACTGAGCACACACACAGAATAAAGGAGTTTGCTAGTGTTGCATATGGTTGGCAGCACCTAGAGAGTGTTAACTATGCAATATGGACTCCTCCACCAATATGGGAATTAATGCAGAGATGCTTCAGTGACCTCTGAAAGAGAGGCTTACCATGCCTCTTTCATCCCATAATCTTAACTTCTTCCTGAAAGTTGGTACCTTGCAAAGCTGTATTCCTGAAAGGTTCCCCAATGATTTGCCATCTGTCAAAAGTGAGACATTCTGTCACCTTTGTAATGAGCTCTGTGAGCACCTAACACCTAAATTCTCACACCTTCTGTAACACAATGCTCTTGAAGAGAAGAGCAATTCCTCTGCTGCATGCACTCTCTTCTTCGAAGGTGTGGCCATTATGAGATGATGAGAAATGAAGAGGAAATGCAAGTGTTTGCTCTGGAAGGGAAAGAGTCACAGTGACCTCCCAGGAGACTCTCTAAGTCAACACATCTCATCAGTGATATTTCCCCCAACTGCAGATCTCTGCATCCATTTTCAGAAACTCCCACTCTCTCCAGAGGGACCAGTTTCAACTCTTGCCATTCTGCTGCCAGTATACCCCAAAGGTATGTGATTTCCAGGCACTTTTCATCCAGAGAAATCGTTCTGTGCAACAGTGGGTTTCATGAAATTACAAACAGGCACTTGAGAAATACTTATTGAATGAATCAGTGAGAGAATGAATAAAGGATTTCCAAACGCCAACCTGCAAGAACAATGTGAGTCAGTGACGTTGGACTAAATATCTGTCATTGGGGAAATGGCCAGATAGACCATTTTACGGTCTCACCCATTTTATGGAATTCTATATAGTGATAAAAGGAACAGACAGAGACAACTTTACCAACTTAGAATGATCTTTAAGTTATATTTTAAGAGGAAAAAAATCAAGATGCAGAAAGATACATAGAATATGTTACTGTTTATAAAGCCAACAAGTGAAAACTATAAAGCATATATGTAACTACATTTAAAAAACTGCCTAGGAGGATACACATAAATTCAGTAGGAAGGGAGTCAGGACTGGTAGGGGTCATAACCAAGGGGAGAGAGACCCTTATGCAAGATATTACAATTTGTAACAAGGTGAGTGTACTTTATGCTTTTCTTACATGGGTAAATATAGATAAAAAGAGTTAATGATATAGAAAATATTTTTAATGACAAATCAATCAATACCTATATTCTTGGCCATGAGAATGTGAGCCATTAGAAAACAAGATTATGTTATTTTTGTTCTTTTTTGTACCCTGGGTGCCTAGCAGAGAGCCTAGAACATGACAGATGTTCAATAAATATTAGGGTAAATGAGTAAGATAAAAATTTGTAGATGAAGTCAATAAATAAAAAATTAAATATTTCATTCAAAATTTAGACTTTTTTGCAGGAATTTTTTCTCCCTCAAATTTTTTTCTATATTATGATATCAAGTGATTGGCACTCCCAGTTCATCAGTTCTTTCCAATGATTAAAAGATCCAGCCCGAGCCATTTAAGTCCCACAGTAGTAGTTCTTGGCTTATCTTTTCTTCCTTGGTAGAATCAGAAGGCAAAGCACAAGATCTCTATGTCACATAAGAAAGTGTGAACTTGATGTTGGAACGTGATGCTGGGTGGCCTGCCAACTGAGACTATAGGTGGCTATTGTTGAATATGTGGATGGCTAAATAAATGAATTGTAGTTAATACAATTTAAATGCTGGCATCATGAAAGTAAAATTATCCAAGCTATTTCAAATAAGCTCCCTAGACTTGCATGTAAAGGTAAGCAGAAACTTTTAAAGATGAACCTAGGAAAACCTGATTAAAAGTTCTGGTTCCCATGGAGTCCATGAGTTTTAACAAGTCATTAGCCTAGTCACTAAAAAGTTCAGTGATTAGGAAGTGAGGTGGTATATATAAATATAATTTCCAGATAACTGAAGGGTATCATTTTAAGTGCCAACACTGAATAGAAGAACTTGAAAAAATACTTCTTTTCAGCCAAGTCCAAAAAAATACAGAACTTATTTTAACCCCACCTAGGGACTTAAACTCGTTATTTGTGATCAGTCTTGCAGTGTCCATTTAGTGATATCCTCAACAAATTTGTGTGACTAGGGATGCCCCAGACTGATACTCTTTTTAATTATTTTAATATTTAATAATTTAAATATTCTTTAAATATTTTTCTTTTAAAATATTCTACTGTTTTCAGGATTTTTTTCCTTCTGTTTCATATTGACATCATCTACCATTTTTTGTGGGTATCACTCCACTGCTTCTGGTTTTTGCCCCACAATCTCCCTGCTCCATCTAATTTAACATTTCCATGTTGTGAATGGAAAACCTGTTAAGTAAATTCATTGTAAAGTACAGACAAGCAGTCCGTGAGTGGGGGTAATGGACTGTCCTTTGAGGAAGTATATATGAACTCTAGTAAATACACCATCTGTTTTTGTCTATTCAAACTCCTCCTTTACTTAATATCTGGAAGATTGAGTGGGTGAAGTGACTAGGAAAAAAATGACTTTTGGTTAAATGAACTGTTACTGGATAAAGATATTCATATTTCCACTGCAGCATTCCGGAATGGCTGGAATTTTGGGAAAAAGATCCAGTGGAGATTCTCTTGGATCTGGGGTTTGGTGCTGATGAGCCAGACATCTGCACTCGAATTCCAGCCAGATTCCTGGGTTATGGCTCAGCAGCCAGAGGAATCAACATCCCTGTTTTTCTTGAAGCTCAAAAGCAGCGAATGGACACTGAGAACCCTAACTTGTACAGTAAGTGAGGGCCACTTGGCATCAGAATCTCAGCAGTGGCTATGAGAATTCAGATGAACCACAGTACTGGGAGGGATGGGCCAGGAGGTCTGTGCAGTATCAATCAACCCTCAGAGCTCAGGGACTTCTGAGACAGAAACAGGCTTATGTCTTGATCACTCTCCATGTTCAGTGTGGATTGGTATATACATGAGGGGGAGGATGGGCTTCCCTGATGGCTCAGATGGTAAAGAATCTGCCTGCAATGTGGGAGCCTCAGTTTCAGTCCCTGGGTCAGGAAGATCCCCTGGAGAAGGAAATGGCTACCCACTCCAGAATTCTTGCCTGGACAAGAATCCCATGGACAGACGTGCCCGGCTGGCTATAGTCCATGAGGAGGAAGAGGGATCTGTTCCATGATGTTTTCCTTATCTATGGACTTGACTCCACTGTCTGGAACATACTGGTTGGCAATAACAGGGAAAAGGTGGAAATAGAGAACCATTTGTTGTTGTTCAGTTGGTAAGTTGCATCCAACACTTTGCCACCCTATGGACTGCAGCACACCAGACACTAGGCCATAAAGCCTCCTGCTCAGAACTTACACATATCAAGTGTGTTCAGATTTCATTGTCCAAAGTAAATCATGTGGCCACACTTAACTCCAAAAGGGTGACAATGTGCAATCCTACTACGTGCACCGAAGATAATACTATACTGGTAAATAGCACTAATACATACTGTAGCTGCATACCCAGAGGTCAGAGAAACCAGAATTTGGCCACTAAGTGAAATCTTAATTTTCTCTTCTATGAGGCTTAGACCACTCTTATTCCACCATGAGCTGTGATTGGTAGTTATAAATATGTCATATCTTCAGATTTGTGGACTAACTAGACTTCCCTGGTGACTCAGATGGTAAAGAATCTGCCTGCAATTCAGGAGACCCGGGTTCAATCCCGTTGCTGAGAAGATCCCCTGGAAAAGGGGATGGCTACCCACTCCAGTATTCTTGCCTGGAGAATTCCATGGACAGAGGAGCCTGGAGGGCTACAGTCCATGGAATCTCAAAGAGTAGGACATGACTGAGTGACTAATGCACACTTAGATCTTATAGTTATCATGCATGCTAGAATTTTTTTTCCAACTGGTGGTCAGTTGGAAAAAAAAACTGTCTAGGACACGACTGAGGTTATTCTTGGGGTATGTGTACTGTGCTCAAACAATTTGGGAGAAAGATGGCTTGCAGTTAAACAAGTTTAATTACTGCAGGATTTGTTTAACATGCTGAGGGGCACTCTCAGTTTCCTGGAGGGAGTGCAGTGCAGTGTTTTTTCAAAATCATTTCAGTACAGAACCTCTCTTAGAGGAGCCTTGAAGAACATCTCCTCCATGGAATAGCTTGCAGAATTCTGGACTGGGAGCATGCCAAAATTCTATTAATGAAATAAACTCTTCTGAATAAATTCACTGAAAGGGAAGCCAAGGGAAATGAAGTGTTTCTCTCAAATAGATATCTGGAACAGAGGTTTTGCTTAGATATTTCATCTCAGTTTCTGTTTCCTCTGTTTTCATATGGGTGAAATGGGTGTCAGAAATCTCAGTAATAACATTTTTTAAAAAGAGTAGGCAAAACTGCAGATGTTGCAGTATAATGGTTCTTTACCTTTAGAAGAAATTAATATCAGTCTTTGTTGTCTCCTCCTCCAAGCTGCACAGAGATGCAAAATTCTTGATCTATTCTTTATTTGGGGAGAATAGCAACACTTACTGATATTTGAGGACTGTGAAGTAAACATTGCACAGATGAAATTGACACTTAGACTACAGGGAAACGAGAAGTCGGCCCCTGATCCTGTAACTGCTGGCCCCCTCTATTTCCACCACTTAGCCCTGTGCTAACAGTGCATAGTAACTATTCTCACTCAACACTTACAAGTACACTTTCAACTCAAGAAAGCTGAGAAGGTCAAATGCAAAATAAGCAATAATAAAATTAGTTGGTTGTCCCAAAGACAGAATGGAAAAGTATGTCTCATTCAAGGTCAGTACAAAAAGTTCAAACTTGAAGGGATGAGAACGGGTTCATTGTTCGGTGTGCCCCAAAGCAAAACAAACAAAAATCCTCATCCGACACTTCACGCTGTTATGTTCTCTGAATTACCTGAACCAATTAAAATTGATAGGCTTTGTCTAAGTATTAAAATCTTCTACCGAATGGATGCTAACACAATCATAAAAGTGGAATGATGATTAAATCATGTTCTTAAGCTTACAACTAAATTTAAGTTGGAAGTGTAATCAGAATGTTTCTGAAAACATCTGGAACTCAAGAGTTTCTCTAGGTCTCAACAGAATATCATCGTCCTCCATAAGAAGCCCATCACATTGGACTAGAAGGATGAATAGTCAGTATCTTCCATTTTCAGGTGAAGGACACAAATAGGCACAATGATTTGCTTGTGGAGAAGGCTGTACCATTGCTATGATGGTGCAAACAGAACAGAGAACAGTTTCTACACCAAAGGGGCCTTTGACCACTGCTGAGCTATGCAACCATGCATGTACCACTGGGGTTGAGAAAAGTTTCTGTAATAAAAACAAAGTGTTCCATTTCCATTGCTGTGGTTTTATTATCTGGAGATACAAAAATATATTTTACAATTTTTTCTAAATAGCCCCAAAATAGCCCTTGTTGCATTAGATCTCTCTCATACTGATTAAGCCAGTTCTTGCATATTGCCTGGATTAGTGAGGACAGATCATCCAGAAAGACTTATTAATTGAGGAGATGGCTTGCTTGGAAAGGTAAATGGATTTTCACATTAACAACTATCTTCTGTTAGAAGATTAAAGACAATATATTCCCTTTCTGAGCTGAGCACATTTGTAATTTTAGCTGATATCTATTTAGCATTGTGCTTTTCACAACCGATGTGAGAGATACATATGACTGGTACTGTTACTTCATTCTCTAGATAAGAAACTGGCCATTTATTATGTGCCAGGCACAGGGCTAAGCACCATGAATCTATTAATTTATTCACTTTGTGGTCATACTTCCAGTGATTGGTTGATCTGGAATTTGGATCCAGGCCTTCTGACTCCATATGTCATGACACTTCCACACTCTCAGGTGAAGGGTGTAGAATTCAGTAGTCCCCAGTCTTTTTGACACCAGGAACCAGTTTTGTGGAAGACAGTTTTTCCACATACTAAGGCAGGGGAGGGGGATGGTTTCAGGATGATTCAAGCACATTATATTTATTGTGCACTTTATTTCTATTATTAATACATTAGCTCCACCTCAAATCATCAGACATTAGACCCCAGAAGTTGGGGACCCCCGATGTAGCTGGAGATGATGGAGGTAATGATGATAATAGTGACTATCTCAAGCTGTGGAAGAATCTTTAAGCTTACTTCATATAAAGGAACGGAGTTCACGCTTTGCCATTTACTTAAACACATGAGTATAATCTCAAGATTCATCCTTGTCTGTAGTTTTTATAGTTTAACACATAGGAATTATTTGAATGTATATAGTTATGTATATTCAACTAAATATAACTATAACACAGTGATACTTTGTTATATAGGGGAATCTTGTCCACAGTAACCAGTGATAAATACTAAGGGAAAACTTTGGGATGGTTTCAGGATGATTCAAGCACATTATATTTATTGTGCACTTTATTTCTATTATTAATACATTAGCTCCACCTCAAATCATCAGACATTAGACCCCAGAAGTTGGGGACCCCCGATGTAGCTGGAGATGATGGAGGTAATGATGATAATAGTGACTATCTCAAGCTGTGGAAGAATCTTTAAGCTTACTTCATATAAAGGAACTGAGTTCACGCTTTGCCATTTACTTAAACACGTGAGTTTAATCTCAAGATTCATCCTTGTCTGTAGTTTTTATAGTTTAACACATAGGAATTATTTGAATGTATATAGTTATGTATATTCAACTAAATATAACTATAACACAGTGATACTTTGTTATATAGGGGAATCTTGTCCACAGTAACCAGTGATAAATACTAAGGGAAAACTTGAGTTTCAGGAATGTAAACTCCTTCCCATCTTGAAAATCATATGTGTTCAATCTCTTTAGTTTTTACTACATTAATGCAGTTTCATTGAAACTAAAAATTGTGTGTTCTTTGAATTATTCAGGTCGTTTCCGACAGCTAGAAATACTGGATCACGTGGCCAGCGCTTTCTCATCTTTGCTGAACGATATTAACATCCTGCAGAACAAAGCTGAAGAGGAAGATGAAGGAAAAGGTGTGCAAAGAACCTCAGTGAGTGAAGCCAAAGAACATAGAAGAAGAATAGGTGAACTTTTTAGAAAAGGTTCAAAGCAGAACATTGGAAAGGATTATAACCTGGGAGCATCAGAGTCACTGAAGACAACAGACAAACTTTCTATCACCTCTACAGACACAAGGGAGTGTGGAGCACAGGTACCAGCTGTGACAAAGAAATATGCCCAAAGTCATTTGTCTCCTTCGGCAGAGCATTGGTCTCCTCAAGCCTGTGACAGCTTGACACCTCATCATCCTCCCCAGGCTCTCCTGAGCAAACAGTGGCTTCAGTCATCCATGCTGAGCAAGCAGGCTCCTCCTTCCTGTGTGGCTGAGGGGTCAGTCAAGGACAGAACTCGAAAGGAGAATTCAATGCAGACTAATAAACTCAAGAGCTTGTCCCGTCTTTCAGGCAAAGCACCAGACTCCTTCGAAATGGAAGAGGTCAGTGTGCTCAACGTCTAAGTGAAATAACTCTCACCATGGCATCTTTCGCCTTCCAGCCCTCGCGTAACCCTTTCGTCTTTCAGCCCCTCAGCAGTACATGCTGTCACTCCAAACTTCTATTTGGTCTAAGACGTTTAAGGTCATTCTTGTTGCTTCAGTCAGAACTCAACTAGCATGAAACCAGCCTTTGCTATCTCCCATTTCGTTTCCTTTTCTTGCTCACAACTGAATTCACAGGTTATTTTTGACTTTACTTTTCCTCAGTGTCTTATTATGTGTCTCAGTATGCTTTTATCTGCTCTCTAGCTTTCCATGTTTCACCTTCTTTGAAGGTCAGTTCAACTACTTCCCACTTGGCGAAGCTTGCCCACCAATCCTCCTCTGTATTCTTATAGCCTTGGCAGGGAGAGCTTGTCACAGTAAATATTCTGTGTGTGTGTAGGGGGGTGGGGGGGTGGTGTTGATGACATCTCCCCTGTTGGACTAAAAGCTCCTTCAGGACCAGGTTTTATTCTCAAGAGAATATGTCTTAAAAATACTTCCTCTGCAATGCCTACTGCAGAGCCTTGGACGAAACAAGTAGGGACTTGGGTTTAATAGTATTTTGTTTGCTTGCTTTGGGATTTAATGACACTGACATAGCTTGACTCCCATTTCACACATACTCTTTGCCTCTTCATCCCATATTCATTCACACATGCTAATTTTCATCATTTAGATGGCCTATCCAAATATACTTCTAAGTCTTTTTACAAATAGATAAACATTTTCACTCACTTCTCTGATCTTTAATAATTACAAAGAAAGTAGAGAAGAGCAAATCTTCCCCACGTTTCCATGTAAATTGTTTGGAAGTGGGGTAGAATATTTATATGCCAGTCCTAAGGTCAGGCCAGTTTTCTTCAAGCCCTCCGAGTATGAGACACTCTACATGTGAGCCCATAACACATGATGCTCTGGGGCACAGACTCTGCCCTCCGGGAAGCCACAGTGCCAGGCAGGGACACCGAAACCAGTAACATGGTAGGGGTGGAGATAGCTCTATCACCAAAGCAACGAGTTTGAACCAGCCATGGGGCAGAGACAATCAACAAAACTGTAGGATGTTGAAAACTGATGATAACTTTAAAAGAAGACTGAGTTAGGTGAATGAATATGCCTATTGGTAGGTCTCCCCATCCCACAAAGAGATAAAAATTGCCTCGGTTTATAACTGTTAATGATCCGAGTATCTATCTATATTTTTGCATGTATACATCTTATGTCAAAAATTATTTTAAGAGCCTTAAAATATTAATTTCATTTAAAAACAGTAGCAGAGAGACTTCCCTGGTGGTTGAGTGGTTAAGACATCACCTTCCAATGTAGGAAATATGGGTTTGATCACTGGTTGGGGAACTAAGATCCCATATGCCTCATGGCCACAAAACCAAAACATAATATGGTAATATGGTAACAAATTCAATAAAGACTTTAAAAATGGCCCGCATCAAAAAAACTTAAAAAAACAAAAAAAAACACGTAGCATAAAAATGAGTACAAATTATAAACAGAAAGAAAAACAGAGCTTTGGTCAAATGCCTTAATTTGAGTATAAATGGAGATGGCTCAAAAAAGAGTATATTGTTTTATTCCATCTTGCAAAACTTATTTAAGTACAAAGCTAATAGTTAAATTACTGTAAAGAAAATCAAGACAGTCTTCAAGTTGTTAGTCAGTCTGTTGCCTATTTTGTAGGATCTAAACAGGAAATTTCACCAAACTCCAGCCTCTTGACAAGTCCCATTAGACTCTACTGTCTCCTTCCTAAGTTTCTTCTGCTTCAGACAAGGTTGACTTTGAAAAAGCCAAAATTCATTGTATGTCATCTAATGTGAGAGTACAGGCAGAAATGAATACCATCGTAGTCAACGTAAAGAACTAAGAAAAGAATGTTGGTCCCTGCATGACATACTTTCAAATATTCATTTATGACAATTATGACAATTATTCAAGGAAAAGATATATATATAGATACAGATATAAGTATATATAGGCATAGGAAGGAAGAACACATTAAGACACTAAAAAAAGCCTAAATTAAAAAAAAAGCTCACATATTTTTTGGTACATAGCAGGAACTTCGTAAACATTTGTAGATGAGTAAAATTAATATTAGAAGTACTTGATAATATTAATTTAGTCTATGAGTGGCTTCTGTATAAAGACAGAATATCCTGTTTAACTTTGAAGCCAACTTTGTTTTTGATGTTTCTTTAATATTTACCCAGATTTGTGTAAAAGGGTGTAGGTATATGTAAAGCAGAGAGAGCCTTCAAATTGATATTTAAAAACTCTCATTTGAATTTTGTTTTCTTAAAAAATATATTTAAAATACTACATCTTCATCTCACAGGCTGGGGAAAAAATATTTGTTTTACTCAATACCAATATATGATTAAATGAAGCTTGGGTAGATTGTAGCTTAAACAGGAGCTAATGCCAGATTTAATAGTCATTTTTAATGGCAAATTTAAAAATCTAATTATGAAAAATGTGTGCAAAATTGGCAGATTTTCATGGCATTTAAAACATGAGCCAATGTGCTTAAATATCTACCTCTCAGAATTTCAACTCTGATTAGCCAAATTGCCTCCAGATCAATCTTTGATGTTTTCATTTAAGTACTACTAGAGACTGAATATGGCAATATTTGGCTCACTTCTCAAAATTATGATTCCAACAAAGTTGTACATAGATGATTTTAATGCAAAAATCAACATATTTTTGTGTTTAATTTAACCTAAACTAAGTCTGTTCCTTTCTTTTTTGATTCCCAAATATATGAAAAGAATTTAATACTTATGAAACTTCTGTAATTGTAGACTCTCTTAGGGTGCTTCTTTGTATCTGCAATATAACATCTTTAACCTTCCCTCTTACTTATATACAAGGATCCTTCTCTCTGGAAGTAATGTATGAGAATGTTACCCATATTATTAAATAATACCAGTCAGCATCTTATTTAGATGGGAAATGTTTCCAAAGTAATCATCATTTCTTTGTTTTACTATTAGGAAGTTTGGCCCAGGTGGAATGACCCAGGAATATACCTGGTTTCCACTTTAAATTATTGGGACTTTTTTTGGTTCTTTTATTTAATAGATGAATAGATACTTTACATTGCACTAAGTGGATTTTTCTCCAGGGTAATGCTCACAGTAAAAATATTTTCTTATACTGAAAAATGTACGTGGTACACACTGGTTTGAGTTACAAAACCAACAAAAATAGTGGTAAGAAGTATGTCTACTCAGTTACAAGTGTAAAGTAACTTCTCTGAAAAAAAGATATGAAAGATTAAAACAGAGGGAATAAATATTTCTTCTTACATTGCTGAGCCATTTCCTCATGTCCTCTGTTTATTTATGGGTTAAAGGTAATTTTTGGCCAGGTGTACCACAATGTTTAAAAGGTTCATATCATTTGATTTAGCCCTCAATATTCATAAATCAATACCATATAAATAATACGAAATGTAGAAATAGATTTTAGTTGCTAAGTCATGTAGAACTGTTTTGCGACCCCCATGGACTGTCCCCCACCAGTCTCCTCTGTTCATGGAATTTTCCAGGCAAGAATACTGGAGTTGGTTGCTACTTCCTTCTCCAAGAGATCTTCCAGACCTAGGGATTGAACCCATGGCTTTTATGTCTCTGCATTAGCAGATAGATTAGATTTAAGTACAAGGATACTCATCTCAGCAGCATTTCTGTTTCCAAAATTCAGAAAATATTCCATCATTAAGAGAAACATTAAGTAAATCAATGTACCTTCAAAATATAGCCTATTGTGTACTCATTAAAGATGGTATTTTCAAAGAAATTTTATGATATGAGGGGAAATTACCCTTCCAAGTTTTGAATGAAAAAATTTGAGTAAATTACTCTATCCAGAATAAATGTAGTAAAAGAAAGCCTGCAAAGATACACTCCAAGATATCGACACTAAACCTTTTTTACCTTCTTTGACTTTTTATATTTATCAAGTTTCAGTATTGAGCTGTTATTGTTTTTAAAGAAGTAGCTATTATTTAGTTTTAACAATGATTTATTCTCATTAAAGAGTAGTATTCATTAATTTCTAAAAAGAATTTTTAAAATAAATTCAACCCTGTTAATTTGGAAATCAGATTTTCTTTTAGCTTTCTAAGATTTACATAGCAACTGAATTATGAATTTCCTAAATTGCTCTCCACAAATTTACCAAGTTGTAAATAAATCCCTTAGAAAGCTAAAATTAAATATGGGAAATAACTTGCTTTCTCCAAATATAGTTAATGCTCTTTATGAGCCAAAAAAAAAAAAAAGCTTCCTAGGTTAATAGTAATAATATTATAAAAGTTTAGCTCAAATGTCACATCTCCAGGCAGGGTCTCTATTCCTCCCACCCAGACATAATCTTTCCCTTTCCCTTTTTTTTTCTTTTGAATAAAGCTTTAAAATTTTATTGACATAAGAGGCCTGATTGAATGGAGTAATGTATTCTGTAGCTATCAATGCGAAAACATTGTAAACATGCAAGTGCTTCCCAAACTGATTTGAACATTTATCCTAATTTCAATTATTTACTTCTTTTTTAACATTTGGCCAAGCATGAGGGATCTCATTTTCCTGGCCAGGGATGGAACCCACACCTCCTGCAGTGGAAGTGCAGAGTCTTAACCGCTGGACCACCTGGGAGACCCTCCTTTCCCTCATCTTATGTCCTTTAGTTCTTCAAATTTTTGACATGAGTGCCTTGTACATGCCACTTGCCTGCAGCAGACTGTTAGCTTTTTGAAGTCAGAGATCATGTTTAATCCCCTTAGTAGGAGCCAGTCGATATTCATGATATGTTGATTAAATAGATTAAGTGAATTTATTATGAAAGCATTTCTAATAAGGTTGATACATTTTGGTATCTCAGGTCCAGAGCTTTGAAGAAGAGACCAGCAGTCCTCTCGACATGACTTCAGGAACTGCAGGTAAGACTTCATCAAGGTGTACAATTTCATCTTTCAGAAAGAAAATGTAATGAACTAGTACTCAACTTTCTTAATATGTAGAGCTTAAATTATGTTTAGGAGATGCGATACCTACTATTACTACTACTTGTACCTGGTACTATTAAACACCTACTAGCAATGAATATGGAGAAGGCAATGGCAACCCACTCCAGTACTCTTGCCTGGAAAATCCCATGGACGAAGGAGCCTGGTAGGCTGCAGTCCATCCGGTCGCGAGGAGTCAGACAGGACTGAGCGACTTCACTTTCACTTTTTACTTTCACGCATTGGAGAAGGAAATGGCAACCCACTCCAGTGTTCTTGCCTGGAGAATCCCAGGGATGGGGGAGCCTGGTGGGCTGCCGTCTGTGGGGTCGCACAGAGTCAGACACGACTGAAGCGACTTAGCAGCAGCAGCAGCAATGCATATGTACATGTAAATTTCACAATAATTACTATGGAAATGTTCGATATTTCTGGTGCTGATATAGTTTGTGTTCTGTCAAACAAAAACACTATATGACCTGAATAGGCTAATGGAATGGATTTCACACAGAACTGAGACTGAGTGAATACGTTCTTATTCCTACTGACAGTTGCTTGCTGTTGCACAAGACATACCAATTTAGTGGACCTTAGTTTTTCCATCTGTGGCAAAGACAGAAGTGCAGATAATTTGTAAGTTCTTTGCTGGCACTTATAATCTAAAGTAAGTGATTCTATGGCCATCATATTAAACTCAATGCAAACAAGTTGCCTAGATGTAACCTTCCAAGTCATCTCTTGGGCTGATGTTGTATCATCCCAAACAACAGAGTAGGAAGTCTCTCTACTGCTGGGTCTTATGCTGCCATTCAGCCATCACTATGATTCAGCATTTCCATGATCCTACAGCAGAGCTAAAAGTAGACAGGGTTTAGTGAAGCAAAATAAAGCAGATGAAGCTCGAGCGTTTCCTGGAAGAAAATATGCAAATTTTAAATTTAATTCAGTGTGGTGTCAAACACATCTTTTTCATTACAAAGTGTATGTATGGGCCTCATTTTGCTAAATGCTGTTTAGAAATTATGCATTAGTAATTATAGGGTCCTGCTGATTACATAAATTGTTATCCTGCTCTTCGAAGTAATTACCACCTAACCTACATTGAGGTTTATAAGACAGAAATAAGCATCTGTTTTCCATCTAATTGAATGATTCTCAGTGAAGCTGGAGGTCCTCTTGCTGATAAGAACTGCCTTCCTTGACATTCAATTAAGAGGTCCGCTGATATCATGTAAGTCACCTCAGTCAGTCCGAAAAATGATTCGGAAAGTTAGGCAAAAGTGCTAATCTACATTTAATCTCAGATTCAGAGAGCAAATTAAGATGGTTGAAGGTTAACCTAATGGAGAAAATATGAATTCTAGTAAAGCAAATGTGATTTTATTACTTTCAAAATCAGTGTTGTTAACCCAAGAAAAATAGGACTGAGACGAAATAAGTAAAACTAAGTTGATTAATGGGGAAAGGGGAAACTATTACTTTGAGATATATATATATATATATATATATATGAATGGATTATATGTACATAAATTGTATATGCACATATTATATATATAATATATATATTTGCACATATGAAATAATGAATATTGAACCAAAGTTCAAAAGATGACTTTACACAAAAGATGAAGGCACATGGATTGTTTGACCAATAGGATGTGGAAGTGATGTTGTGCCTCTTCCAAGCATATCCTTTAACCCATCTGACTGCCTCCTGGCTCTTGAGATACCTGCTCTTGGAACAATTCTTCTGAGAACCTGGTCCTCATATTGTGTGAAAAGTGCAACACTGGGTATGCCACGTGTGTGACCACTTTGAATGAGTATCCTTGTGAATACACCATCCTTGTTGCCCAGTCCAATCAGACTTTCAAATGACTCCAGCCCAGATTCTATCTGACTGCAGCTGCCTGAGACAATCCAAACAACAAATGCATAGCTGAGCTGAATCAGTCCATGGAACTGTGAAAGTAATAAATAATAAATTGTAGTTTTAAGCCACAGATGTGAAAGTGAAAATGTTTGTCCCTCAGTTGTGACCGGCTCTTTGTGACCCCTTGGATGGTAGCTCATCAGACTCCTCTGTCCACGGAATTCTCCAGGCAAGAATACTGGAGTGGGTTGCCATTTCCTTCTCCAGGGGATCTTCCTGACCCAGGGACTGAACCTGGGGCTCCCGCATTGCAGGCAGCTTCTTTACTGTCTGGGCCAACAGGGAAGCAACAATAAATTGTAGTTTTAAGCCACACAGATACACACAAATAGATGAAGGAATGTAATGAACTCTTCAAATACCTTTAGCACTTAGTTTAAAGACATTTTATACTTTATCTATTCATGTACAATGCTCTGAACATTAGCAGAAAAAGTGTATTTAAGCATTTCCCTAAATAAGTGAGCAAAATTTCTTCTTATGAAAGGTTAGGACCCAAGGCCACAAACGCACCATCCTCCCTTTATCACTGAAAAATTATCACTGGAATGACAAAGAATATAAATATAAGAAGGAAACAAATAACAGTGTGATTATAAAATTGAGAACAAAATCAATCATTCATATTCTAGAATCCTTGAAGAGTTTGTTTGAGATATATTGTGAGTGAAGTTGCAGACGAATCTATATCAAGAGTTCACCTAGGTTTTAAAGAGTTAAGTGTACTTGTTATGGTCATAATTTTCAAAAGAATCTAAGTTAACTTTCATATTAGGCAAAGTATACCTTTCCTGTCACTTTTTAATATCAGCAAACACAGAAAAATTACCACAATATCTAGTAGTTCACAATTACAGGCTATTTCAAGAAAGGCCCACAAATGAAAGAATGACTACAAAGAATCATTAAGAATCCTCAGAAATGACTATCCTCAGTGAGATGTATGAAGACACTGCTTCTATGTAAGAGAACAGCCTCTTGTAAGTAACCATTCCTTTCAGGTAAAATACACAGTGTCTGATTCTGTTTTTGATCATGACTAAGTCACCCCCAATGGCCAACCCTCCCACAGATAACTCTGAATTCTCACCACAACAACCTAAAGTCACTGAAGAGTGACCAAAAGCAGGCAGACTGTGCGGAAGACTTCAACACTTGGGATAAAAGAATGCCACTGAGTGAATTTCCTGTTTTGGTTTTTGGTTTTTTGTTTTTTTTAACTCATTTAGCCTAAAGCAAAAGCTAATTTACACCACTCTAAAAATTTTTATATAAATTATCAGTCATACTAGCTAGAAAAATCAGAAGACAGAGTTGAGGGCAATAACAAAAGCTGGAAAGTGAGGGGAGAAATCCCAGAAAAGAGAGAGTCTAGAGGACAATCTTCAGAGTCTGAGTAAGAAATCTACTCACATCGCTGCTGCTGCTGCCGCTAAGTCGCTTCAGTTGGGTCCAACTCTGTGCGACCCCATAGACGGCAGCCAACCAGGCTTGCCCTGGGATTCTCCAGGCAAGAACACTGGAGTGGGTTGCCATTTCCCTCTCCAATGCAGGAAAGTGAAAAGTGAAAGTGAAGTCGCTCAGTCGTGTCCGACTCCTAGTGACCCCATGGACTGTAGCCCACCAGGCTCCTCCATCCAGTCAAACTGAAGATGCGTGAGGAAGACTTTAAGAATCTCAGCTAAAGCTAAAAGAGTGAAATGACATTTCCAATTGGACTTTGATTCTAGCCAGTTTTCCTGACTGCTAAAACATCATATCATTTACAATACCTGGGTACAATAAAAAATTACTGGAAAATATAAGAAAAAAATAAGAAAATATAACTTACACTAAAGAAATAGGCAATTAATGGAGACAAACTGTGAGAAAACCAAGATGTTGGAATCAGCAGAAAAAGTATCTTAAAGAGCTTATTCTAATCATGCTGAAGGATGCAAAGAAAAAATATGTTCACAATTAATGAACCAAAAGAAAATCTAAAAAGCAAAATAGAAATTATATTAAAAATGAAATGGAAATCCTATAAGTGAAATCTATAATTTCTGAAATACAAAGCTTACTGGATGGGCTTAACAGCTGATGAGCTTTATTTTAAATGAGAAAATAAAGACTTGAGAACTTCATACCAATAGAAAGTATCCAATAAACTGAAGAACGAGAGAAAAAAAGACATTAAAAATTACATGAAAAAAAATTATCTGAGTCTTAGGAGCCTGTGGGACAACATCAAAAGTTCAAACATACATGAAATTGCAGTCAGAGAAGGAGAGAATGGAGAGAACTGGGCCGGAATAAAATCTGAAGAAGTAATTACGGAAAATTTCCCAAATTCACTCAAAGATTCACATTTACAGATTCAAGAAGCTCAGCAATTCCCAAGTATGAAAAGTACCCAGAAAACTATACTTAGTGTCAAAATTATAATGAGAAAATATTCAAACAGGGACAAAAAAATTATATGGTGTATATAAGGGAATAAAATTTGAGTGACTGAAAATTTTTCATTAGAAATGATGGAGACCAACAGGCAGTAACTGTCAACCAGATTCTGTACATAGCAAAAATGTCCTTCAGGAATGAAAATAAAGATAAAAGAAATTTTAGAAAAAGAAAACTAACATTATCAGCATACCTGTACAGTAAACAATGCTAAAGGAAGCTCTTCAGACTAATGATAGACAGTGAACTGTGATGTTTATACCAAACACCAACATAATACCTATGACAATTTTAGCTTGGAGGATGGAGAGGCTGGTAAATGGATCAATACAGCTCAGGGTTTTTACATCTTATGTGAAATGGTACAATGTTAAATTTAAGTACACTGTAAATTTGAGGTTATAAAGCAACCATTAAAAAATATAGTTAAAGCAAAATGCTAATAGAAAAATTAAAATATAATTCAAAAAATACAATGAAGACAGTAGGTGACAGATTGAATACTAGAGAAAAATAGCTGAATAAAAAGTAGGAGACATGTGTGGGAAATTATTTA